GGACGCAAGCCGTTTAGGGCTTTATAGGTCATCACCAACACCTTGAATTGGGCCCGGACTTCAATGGGAAGCCAGTGAAGCTGACGGAGCACTGGAGTCATGTGAACATAACGCCCCGTCCCTGTCAGCAGCCTGGCAGCTCTATTTTGAACCAATTGAAGTATCTGGACCGTCTTCAAGGGTAGCCCCACGTAGAGCGCGTTACAGAAGTCAAGGCGGGAAGTCACCAGCGCGTGTGTCACCGTCGCCAGGCAGTCGTACTCCAGGTAGGGACGCAGCTGATGGATCAGCTGAAGCTGAAGGAAAGCGCTCCTCGCCACTGCTGACACCTTAGCTTCCAGTGAAAGCTCCGGGTCGAGGAGCACTCCCAAGCTGCGGACCTTGTCCCTAAGAAGGAGTGCAACCCCATTCAGGACTAGGTCAAATGCACCCTCTCCGAAGCCCGATCCGCCAACCAACAGGACCTCCGTCTTGTCTGGATTGAGCTTCAGTTTATTGGCCCTCATCCAGCCCATAACCTCGGCCAGGCACCGGTTCAGTACAGCCACTGCCTCACCTGGATTGGTGGAAAACGAGAGGTAGAGCTGGGTATCATCAGCGTACTGATGATTCCGCAGCCCACACCTCCTGATGACCTCTCCCAGCGGTTTCATGTAGATGTTAAACAGCAAAGGGGACAAAATGGAGCCCTGTGGTACTCCATGGCATAGCTGCCATGGCTCAGAGCCATAGTCCCCCAGCACCACCTTCTGGAACCGGCCATTGAGATAGGAGTGGAACCACTGCAAAGCAGTGCCTCCGACCCCCAATCCCGCTAGCCTATCCAGAAGGATACCATGGTCAATGGTATTGAAAGCCGCTGAGAGGTCCAGGAGAACCAACAGGGATGCACTCCCCCTGTCCTTCTCCCTGCACAGGTCATCGTACAGGGCGACCAAGGCAGATTCAGTACCGTACCCGGGTCTGAAGCCAGACTGAAATGGGTCTAGATAATCAGTTTCATCCAAGAGTGCTTGGAGTTGTCCCGCCACCACCCGCTCTAACACCTTGCCCAGAAACGGGATGTTGGCCACAGATCTATAGTTAGTGGCCATCTCTGGATCCAGTGATGCTTTCTTCAGGACCGGTCGGGCTACCGCCTCCTTTAAAGGGGCAGGCACCCGAACCTCCCTCAGAGAAGCGTTAACTACTTCCAAGATCCAGGTCCCAATCCCGTGCTTGGAGTTATTTATTAACCAAGACGGGCAAGGGTCCAATAGGCAAGTGGTGGGACGTACTCGTCCAAGCACCTTGTCCACATCATCGGGCCGCAATAACTGAAATTCATCCAATAATTCTGGATCAGATGGCAGCATTGGCGTCTCCCCAGAAACCTCTGATTCATTAGTGTTGTCCAGCTCGTGACGAATCTGAGCGATTTTCTCCCGGAAATGCCTGGCAAAGTCGTCACAGCGGGCCTTTGCGGGTGGAACCGGATCTTCCTTAGGACCTGGAAGAACCAGGCCTTGCACCACTCGAAAAAGCTCCACCGGACGGCATTGTGAGGAGGCAATGGAAGCGGAAAAAAACCTCTTTTTCGCCGCCCTCACCGCCACAGCATAGGCCCGAAAGTGGGCTCTCAAGTGTGTTCGGTCAGATTCATCCCATGATCTCCTCCACCTATGCTCTAGCCGTCTCCCAACCTGCTTCATTGCCCGCAATTCAGGTGTATACCAAGGGGAAGAGCGGGCTCTGCCCGGTGGGAGAGGACGCTTAGGACCAGGTGTCCACAGCCCTGGTCATCTCCCTGTTCCACAGTTCGACCAGAGCCTCGACAGGAGCACCAGTCTTGTCAGCTGGAAACTCCCCCAGGGCCTTCAGGAATCCATCCGGATCCATCCGGCTCCAGGGGCGGACCCACACAATCGGGTCCTCACCCTTGCAGAGGGAGAGGTCGCTCTCAAGCACAAACCACCAGGGAGTGATCTGACCATGACAGGGGAGTCAAGCATAAATTCTTCACCCTCAGACCACCCTCTTCCTGCCCTGTCGAGAAAACCAGGTCCACGGTGTGTCCACGTTCATGGGTCGGGCCGGAGACATGTTGAGACAGCCCCATGGCCGTCATGGAGGCCATGAAGTCCTGAGCCGCCCCGGTCAGACCAGACTCGGCATGGAGATTGAAGTCCCCCAGGACCAACATCCTGGGGGTCCTCAACACCAGGTCCGAGATGGTCTCCGTCAGCTCAGGCAGGGAGACTTTTGGGCAGAAGGGTGCACGGTACACCAACAGAATCCCCAATCTGTCTCGGTCGCCCAACACCAAGTAGAGGCACTCCAGCCCTGGTCTCGAAGGGATCGGAAGTCCCGTGAGGGAGATGGAGGCTCGGTAAACCAAAGCGACACCCCCTCCCCTCCCCTCCAGGCGTGAACAGTGCTGAACCAGATACCCGGGCGGGCACAGTTGAGAGAGGGCAACATCCCCCCCTCCCGCCCAGGTCTCCGTTATGCAAGCCAGGTTGGCCCCCTCCTCCACAATCAAGTCATGGATGAGGGAAGATTTATTGTGGACCGACCTGGCATTAAGCAGCAGCACTGTCAGGCCTGAGGGGCGGTTGACCAGACTACCTGGAACCCTCTGGCTGGGGGTAGAACCAGAAGGAGGGATAGGTGTCAACCATCTGTCCCTCCTTCTTCTACGCGGACACGTTAAGCCCCCACCGCTGTTACGTCCATTGCCCAAGACCACGCCAATGGCGGCGCCTGCGCGCTCCCCAGGAAACATAAACGTCAACATGGCCAGGGACGACTCCATAAAAACAGATTAAAATAGAATAAAATTATAAAAGCAATTAAAAACTCCCCCTTCCCTAACATTCACAACAGCAGGCGGGCCAATTTCAACAAAAGCCCCTGGCCAGCCCAGCCCCCAGCTCGGCCCCCGAACGGTACCCAAACGGCGGCGACTGCCCTTTGGCCACCACCCTTCAGCCGCTGGCCCGAGGCCGCCGGCCCCGGCCGCCGCCAGTGCTTTAAGGCCGCAGGGCCCTCCCGAAGACCCACCCTGTCCCGCACGCCTTTTGCCCGTGTGAGGGGGCGGGCCGAACCGGAACTGGTCCTGCATCCTGGCCGGTGGTGCTGGCCTCCGTTGGGCGGTGTGGCGCGGCAGCGTGCAGCCGGTGGCGCGCGAAGGTCCTTCCTGCAGCGCGGGGGAGGTGTGCCCCGTCCGGCGTGCTGGTTCTCCCTGCCGCCACTGGCGCTCTAAGGTCGCAGGGCCCTCCCGAAGGCTTGGCCATAGTAGACCACTGATGGAGATCTTCTGGGGTAACGCCCAAGATAAATGCCGTATCTGCCCCAAAAGGCAGTCAGCCAGTCAGAGTCAGAGTCAGTCTCTCTCTCTCTCTCTCTCTCTCTCTCTCTCTCTCTCTCTCTCTCTCTCTCTCTCTCTCTCTCTCTCTCTCTCTCTCATATGTTTGCTCTTAGGCTTGTTCTGTCTTTTAATTAATACCTTCCTTTGACACAACAGCTGATGTGCTTTCTCTGAGCAACTCCAGGTGTGCCTGGGGATCCATTGCTGAGGGCATGGATTCCTTCAGCTGGCGGGGTGTGTTGTGCGTGTCAGGACCGCTGAATCATTCCTGCTGTGGGGTTTCAAGCTGCCTTTATGAAGGAGCAGAACCTTTTAGCAAGTACAATGTGACTCACAGCCCTGAAACTGTCGCCATGCATTTTGACTTTGGACATGTGTAAATGCAAAACTATTTGAAGAACTTAGTAACTGGTGAGAGCCTTCTAGGAGCCAGATAGAAGAAGCCAGCCAAAGCTGCTCAGATGCTAACTGCTAGGCCCCTCCTTTTTAGTTTTTAACCTTAATTTTTATTCTTTATATATTTAAACCAGGGTGGTCCGGCTTGTCGTACCTTGAGGGCCGCATGAGGACTTCAACACAGAACCCAGGGTCTACACAATGATTAACATTTCCATATAGTAAATTAAAGTTTTCACAATATAGTTATTTAATTTGATATGCACAAATAATATATTTAATTAAATTTATTTAATAATTAATTAACCCTAATTAACCATTAAACATGGGAAAAAACCAATATGAGATCCCAGAGTTAGCTAGAGAACGCTTTGTGGGCCTATGCTCTCCCCTGAGTGCCCCGCATCCCTCTAACTGACGAGTGCAAAGGCATTAAAAATGTGCCCCATTCAGAAATCCGTCTTGATACAGAGTGGTCTACAAGTGATGGTGGCGATAATAGTGTTGAGTTCTTGTATCATGATCCAGTTGTGTGCACTTAATAGCCAGCTTGCTTTATAAACCCATAAATCATTACTCTGTCACTCAAGATGTCCTTCTAGGTCTCTCTCTCTCTCTCTCTCTCTCTCTCTCTCTCTCTCTCTCTCTCT